CCCCAAAACCCCAAAACCCCAAAACCCCAAAACCCCACACAAACACTTAAAAATTGAAATTTTTTATTTGATGAGTGCGATGAGATGTCCTTTGAAATGTATTCAGGTGTACCACAGGAAGAGGTACTCAGCCTCCTATATTCCAATGTAACCATGGATTACATTTTAAATAACATGGAACCTCAAATCAGACTTTTTGTTGAGAATGGAAATGTGTTAGCGTACGCTGATGACCTTGTGATAAATACATATCCAGAGGAAAATGAAATATCAAACTTCTTATTGAACACCTAGTGAAGTCTGGGCTCAAAGCTAATCCAACTAAGTGAAAGTATATTTGGAGGTAAGTAGACAGTGAAATATCTGAAATAGGAGAGTATGCCAAAAGTTTAAAATACTTGGGTGTAAATATTAGATATGATAAGAAATGTGTGATAAAGGAAATTAAGAAGAAAGTGAAATTTTTGCAGAAAAAGACTAGAAAGATAACTAGCCACATGGATGGTGAGCAACAAGCCACCATCGTCAATTTACTAGCTCAAAGTATCCTACTTTATCATACAAATGAATCACTTCTGTAAAATGAAATAACTTTAAAAGATTGTGAAAATCTTATAAAGTATGAGAAAGAGCAACAAGAGTGATTCCAGCCTGAGTCGGGATAGAAAATATGGATGTTTGTGTAGCTAAAGAGGACACTTTAATATGGATAAGAAAGATAATCTGAAGGTTAATGAGTAAATTGATAAAAACTCAAAAATTACAAAAGAAGTCTCTCAGTATGCTTGGGAACAAGAGACAACCTCAAAAATAATGAAATGCGCTATATGGAGATATGGGATAGTCATGAATTGGGACAAGATCAGAAACATAACTAGACCTAGCATTTTCAGGACTATATTTCATAACCTCTATCATGATAAATAATACCCTTATCTTTGTAAATGTGATAAAATATGAGATAAAAGACGCAGGCCTGTTTGAAACAATGTCAAAGTCAAGCAAATCACATTACTTTCCATTTACACTCATCAGAGATATTACAAAAGCAATGGTCTCTCAGTTGATAAATTTATTAAAGAAGTTGAAGCTGCACAGAATGGAAATGAACTCCTGATAAAAGTCAACAGATCAGAGATCAAAGATCACCAAATTGATAGATATAGGCCCAAGTTATACCCACAACAAGACCAACCTTTATTGAGAAAAAACCCATTCCCAGATAAAATTTTTCACCAAGAAAGAACCTTTAACTTCAACATTCATTCTATCTAACCATCCCATGGGGTTTTGGGGTTTTGGGGTTTTGGGGTTTTGGGG